ATTAGATGTATTATAAATGTATTTTTTATAGATGTGGACTTGATTTAAAGATTCCAGTTTAAAATATAGTAATGGAACGATGGAACAAATTGTTTGTTAATTAAATTAAATTGAAATTATCTTTATATATTTTTTTAACTTACGTGCATTGGATTTTGAAAAGCGTTGTGGAATTAGTGAGGAAGATCTTAAAAAACAATGTGCCGGATGTTTTTGGCATATTCTCGGACGTCATTATTGATGCTCTAATAGGTTGACCTAAAATTTAAAAAAGTTTTCACGTTTCATAATAATGTAATTTATATCAAACTTTTATATCTTTTATATTTATATCAAACTTTTATTTACAATAAAAAGGTTCAATTATTCTATATTTATATTATCTATATTATTTATATTTATATTTTATATTATCTATATTATACCGCAAAATGGTGTTTCAGCTTTAGTTGCCAAATAATAGATTCCCAAAGATCCACGATTAGCCGCATAACCCATTTCTTGATTCCAATTTGTCGATTCCATAGGAAAGCATGTTCCTTTTGCATAAGATATCCCTCCTTGTGGACAAGGCCATGCGATAAATTTACATTTCTCAGTTTGCGAACGAATGCTCTCTACATAGAGCTGAAAAGCTCTTAAATGACTGCATGCTATATTCCGATCCAAAACATCTTCTAAAATAAATAATCAGAAAAAACATATATTTTTTATTATCTCATATACATCATCTTAATATGAAAAGAATATTAAATTATTCTGATATACAAAATCTATTTTATTCTTAATAATTAGCTATCTGGAAGTCACGGAATTTTAAAAAAATGTCTCAGATAAAAGAATTTCAAGGAAATGATATGATATTAATTTAAATTTATAATATGATTTTAATTTCAAGGATATGATTATGATATTGATTTATTTACAAATAGTGTCACTGTTAATATCTTTTTCGCTTTTCGGTTATTTTTAAATGAAATTAAATAATTATATTTTTAATATATCGACACCATTTGCAAATAAATCAGTATTATAATTATATGGTTTTGACGAAACTCTAGTCTATTTTTGTCTAAAATATTTTTTTCCAATTTCGATGATTTACTATCAAAAACAAAATAAAACACTGTACATTGCAAACAAATATAAAATTTTTTGTATAAACGTCATTAATTAATATAATTTATTAGTGTGTATAATATATATTGAAAAATAAAAGAATTATATTATTATTAGTAAATATCCATAAATAAATATATTAAGTAGCAATAAAATATTCTAATATTTTAACATGAGATAAATATTTTTAAAAATAAATATATATTAATAATAATTTAAGAAAAAATTAAGAATAAACCAAAACCAAATGTAATCGAACGGAATACATACATAAAATGGACAATTTAATTCACACTTGCTCTCAATTTGTACCTTTCAAATGACTGACCACCACTGAATTCTTAATATCGGTACAACCGGGCTGTTCTCTACCACCGTTAGGAAAAAAGTCAATGTGCCCAATTGGCTTAAGTAAACCGAAACCGTCCTTGAAATCCTGAGAGCCATCGGTATGAATGACGTCAACGAGATGAGCATCAGTGGCATCCAATTTTCTCGACTTCTCCCTAAACAGATGATGTCTGAAGAAGGGTGACGCCGGATCGAGACCTGTTATGCGACCCAGAAGCAGATTCTTTTGTTTTAATATTTCGGAAGCACAACCGGCCACATGCGCGCCAAGACTGAAACCGATCACGTGAATATCGACGGGATCGATCCCTAAATTGATGGTGTCCAAAAGCACCAAGGCCAATTGCCGGCCAACTAGTTCGCTATTTGCCACTGCAGTTCCGTAAGTAGTGCTTGCCCCTTTCGTCCAGTCCAAGATAATAACATTTGCATCTTCCTGTACGAGAGATTAAATAGAATTTCAAAGATCTTAACAAAATTCCTCAGCGATATTTGATAATTAAAGGAATGGATGGAATAAAAGCCTAATTATAAAGCTTGATCTTGAAAAAATTAAAATGACTTGCTACTTTTCTATTACACAACAAATTTTCCATTTTCTTTTTTCATAGATCATATCGTTTTTACTCCGACAGAACAACCAAAATACGTTTATATACATATAATCAACTTAAGCAACATCAATTTTCTTCATTTGCGCTAATCTCTGGAAAAAGGGCTTAAGTAGTATTGTACCTTTATTCCAATCATTCTCTCAATTTCATAATTATAAATCGTAAAGAAAACTATTAAAACAGGAAGATAAATTTTATTGAGAATTACTATATCGAGAAGAAAATTTATTCCAAGTATCGCGCCGACATCGCTTCCACTGCCCTTAAAACCGTGTATCAACACTCTAAGAGGCTTGCTGACATTGAATCGGGAATGTACGATGGACTTCAAATCATCCCCATACTGTAAGGGTTCCGGATTTTTCCGATCCGCACGTGTATAGAGGAAAAACCTGGTTTGAATTATGCTGGGATGCTCGGGAGGTCGTTTTATCGATAAATGCGGTGGTGGATCCACAAAACAACCGACTAAATCTGAAATATTTTATTTACGATATCGAAATTAAGTCCATGTTACATTAAAACTCAAGAAAATTAATTGTTCCTTGCGTTATATTTTTACCTGATTTTAAAGTACTTTTTCTTATATCTATTTTATAATCTATCCTATTAAAAGAATTAATTATCTTATTAAAAGAAAATAATTAGGAATTATTTTGGAACGGTCTTATGTAAAAAGAAAGCGAATTGCGACACAAATAATTATAAACAAATAATTATGTTAAGTTTACATTCAATTTGTTCATATTAATTTAAAATTTTTTTAATTATTCCAGATAGATATAAAATCTATGTTGCCTTACCGTAACAAATTTTAGATTTTTCTTCGCGAGAAATGGCAATCCGCCTTAGCATAGCACGATTCCGCGCAGCAAGAAGTTTGACTGAAAAAAATAGTGTGCTGCTTTGAGAGAACATAAGAAGTTCAACCGTAGCAGTTTCATCAGTGAAATTGAGTACATCGTATTATTGATCACATTCCAGTTACCCAACCATGGCCCCACTTACGTTTTACTTTCACTTTGAGCACAGCGAATTATCATTCGTACAGTATCGCTTCAGTACGATTTGGACGCCGGGAGATGCGATAGCTTGCGCGTATATCATAATTGAATTTTCTATCAAAACATTGCATATATTGCATCATGTAACCCTATCATAATAGTCGCTGTGAAAGTGTGTCGTATGCAAATGCGGCTTTAAGGTGCAAAGTACGCCGGTATCTCTCACGTGCGAATTATTAAATGTTTGTTTCGTGTGCATGGTGAACGTGTATGTATATGGTTTATGTTCGTTTTGCATTCTTGAGTCACTTTGCCACTCACAACAAGAAAATTTAGATGCTTTGCCTCTGACAAGTCTACAATAACTGCGTAACAATTATATCTGTAAATTATGCTGGTGGATCATCAACCCGTATTACGATAATACCACCATAAACGCGATTTATAACATAATTGTATGAACTCATACAATTACACTATACTTCAATGAGCTTTGCATATGATAATATTACATTCTATCATCACTTCTCAATAAAACCATTTTTTTCGAAAGAATATAATCGAAAATTAATCGAAAAACATATTATTTGTATAAAATCGATCTGGACTAGTTTTAATAAATACAAAAACAATATTCAAAAACTTTTATTAACATAATAATATCTGATTTTCATTCTACGAATTTGACCGTTGTATCTTTACCAGCCCGGTATAATATTCAATATATTATTCAGCATATTTGTTAGTGCACTCACCAGGTTGCAATTTCCCGGCGATTGACGTGAGAACAATTATCAGCAAAATCAGTAGAACGCAATGAACATTGACTAACTGCATCTTGTCACTAAATCGTCGAAGTCTCGTGCCTTTCGTTGAGATCGTTGCATTCCGATTCCCCACCTTCGTCCACATTTTCTGCTTCTTCTTCTTTTTTGTATTTTTCTTCTGTCCTCGCCAAAATGCTTCGCGTTTCTGTCGCGATCGACACGGCGCGCTTTTTGTTTTCCTTTGCCGCCAAACTCACCCAGGCAGGTTCTACCCAACCGTAGAAAGCGTACCTTCTATGAGCAAGTCTCCTTTTTGCGCAATCACCTTTCCGCTTGGCAAAGCCTACCAGCTGCTTCATCATTCATCTAAGTTTGCTTCGGATTTGTAACTGGCAAAGAAATTTATTCTTCCATATCCAATTTGTTTCGGTTTTCTATCTCCATTTATAAACTTATCTGCTGTCTTCCTCGTTAATGTTTTTCTTTGTGTTTAATAAAGATATTAAAGAAGAGTGGAAAGAAAAGGACTACAATTTAAAATTACTACAACTTAATGAAATAAATTTGAAATGCTATAATTTAATGATCTAAAATTGCAGAATCCTCCTTTATATTAATTTCTTTATGATTAAACCCAAAGTATAGTGAATTTAAATATACAGAAGGAGTCGAAACAACTACTTATATTCTGCTCGTGAGATGCCTATTCAGCATCCGATAGCAAGTTGCGCTATTTTTATCTTCTTCTTGTACACGAAATTAAATTTTAGAAAAAAATTTTATAAGAGAAGAAATCGTCTTAAAATCCATATATATTTTATAGAACAAATGATCGCTCCGACTCACCCTGTATATTTTCAATTGATAATCGTCTATCAATTAATGCTCAGTGACATTGACACGTTAGTAAGTTTTTTGTTAAGTAACTACAATTGATATAACTATGTCATACTGTTTCTTTCGCATAGAAACTACATGCGCGGAGTTGAATGTGCATCATGCGATGCGCGATAACTTTCACTCAAATAAATTATATGTGACATGTCTTCTCGCATAAAACTTGATCAGATGAAATAGAAAAGAATCGATTTATTCATTTATAAATAAGTAATGTAAGAATGGTATAATTGTGGCAATGCATATTTTTTACGCAAATATCTTTGATCTATCAAGTAATTAATACATCGAATTACGAAATGCAATCTCTTAACTTCAAAATATATGCATGTTTTGATGCAAACTAGAAATCCATTTTATAGCTCAGTACGATCAATTTCGCTTAGCTTAATTTGTTTGCAAGCCGGCCGAGTAAGTTCCACAATCATGCAAGAGCACTCAAATTACATAAATCGAAAGTAAGTTAACTACTGGTTATTAGCGTTTCGGTTATGCTTTAGTCGCATCTATTTTCCGTAATTGCATCATTCTAAAATAACATATGTAAAAGTTAATTCTTGCTTGTTTCAAAAACGATTAAGTAATGACACGAATATAATTATTTTGTTAAATGTTTTTATTTTTAATAATATCACGTAATCTCCCGAATAAAGAAATAGATATTTTATTATTATTCATTATTTCTTTTCACTTGCTATAATATTAAAAAAAATAATTTTTAGCATTTTATGCATTTTACTTACCTTAATTTTTTAAATAAATTGTTGTCAGCTGTTTATATTTAAAAATATTAAAGCAACTATCGACATATGTGCTTCTGTCGAAAACTGACCGCGAAGGAAGACACAGACATTAGACGATTACTTATAACATATTTATTTGTAATGTTTTATTAATATACTCCTTACCTTATAGACATGTATTTATATCGTATGGCAGCATATTATTATGATATTGTATAATAGGTGAGGTGACTGACAGAATGATTCATTATTTTCTTCTTATTACTCTTCGCGGCCGAAGAACGACACACGCTTGTTCATTGTTTCCTCTCTCGCTCATTCATCCTCCTGTCCACACGCACACGTACACGCAAATTCGTACACGCACGCACGCACGCACGCACGCACACATACATTTACGTACACTTGCTCTTTTAATTATTCCATTTATTCTTCTACAATTTATTTCGCTTCTCTCTCTCTCTCTCTCTTTCTCTCTCTCTCTCTCTCTCTCTCTCTCTCTCTCTCTCTCTCTCTCTCTCTCTCTCTCTCTCTCTCTCTCTCTCTCTCTCTCTCTCTCTCTCTCTCTCTCTCTCC